CTCGTTATACACTTTAATTTCTGATAAAAAATATCGAGAAAAAAATAAAACGGATTCAACTATGCTTTTGCCATTTATTTCTCTTCAGTTAAAAATTAGCATATTCCAACACTGCTTGTAATTTTTAAAATCTTTTTCGAAGTTATATTGTGGATTTGCCTCCAGTTTATTTTGCGAACATTTCTTTATTGAAAATCGTAAATTTAGTCGTAGCACGAATGGCACGTGTACCCCTATTTGGAGATAGCGACTCAAAAATTTTGGATGTAAATTAGTCTAAACTCCGCAACGGATCCTATGGCCCAGCCTTCATTAGTATCTGCGCTTCCCGATGACATTCATCATTAGACGTTTTTTTTTTTAGCCTTTTTTTAGTTATTTTTTCCATTATGCATGAGTGGAGTCCTTTTGAAAAGTCTGTGATTTATTTTTGAACAACGTTTTGTTGAGCGGTTTCGTAACCTTCCTAAAAAGTCCATTTGCTACACCTTCTCTAATGCTTTGACACCGTTATTAAATAAATGTCGCCGAGTGATCCCGTCTTGGTGGACTTCGCACCAAATCATTACAAAAGCTCAGTGCATTGAATTCCTTGGAGGCATATTCTGGTGACAAAGCATTCATTAGTTCACACTGTTCGTTGGTAGTTTGGGTTTCAAACACAGAGCACTGGACTTTTTAAGTACCTTCTAGCACTGCCTTTTCTTATTCTGTACCAAAACTCCTCGAGATAAAAGAAAGTTGTTTTTTTTTTATATCAATACTGGTTTAGCATATGAAATAGGACTTCATAATCTTGTTATGAGGATTCTGTACATAATTTACTCTAAAAAGTCTCCAGAGTAAAAAAATTTATTTGTTAGCTAGCTTTTATTTATATACAAAGTCGTACAGATGTACGTGTTATAATAATAATATAATAGATTGGCGCTTACACATATGTTAGTGTTTGGCCGAGCTTCTCCTCCCAAATATTATAATCAGTCAAAATACTTTAAATCAATAAGTGTAAACTTAATCATATCCCTTCGTATTTAGTACTGCATATGAGTAAATACGTACACTAATACATATACAAGCTACAGTTTAAAATACACAACAACATCCTACTGAAAAGGAAAGCTAATTCGCAAAGCTTTAAATGCCATGATTCGCAGTAGAAAATTTTGAGCCAAAAATAAGTAAAAATATTTTTTAAAATCGGACACTTTCTAATTAGCTATATTTATATAAAAAAGTTCATTCTTATATAATAGGAATATAAAACAAATTATGTACAAGCTGATATGATATTAGATGCATAATAAAAATTAGAAAAAAAAAACGAATGATATATCGAACCCTACATTTGAAACCGCAAACCAAAGAAAATGAACAAATAATATATGGATCCATGCAATCCGAAAAGCCATTCAGACCCTGTTTACATGTATGGATTTTTGGCACCCTCTTTCAATTATCGCAAAATCAATATACATACAATTTTTAAGAATAAACTTAAAAAACAAAGAATTTAAGCATTTAAAGCTACTCCAATTTTTATATACAAAACTGGACTAAGCAATGTAAAAAACTTGGATTATAGCATGCTGTATTTCAAGCTAGAATTAAGCGTATGTAGCTATTTTGATGTCTGTAATAGTAATTTGTTGTTGTAAATGATGTAAAAAAACTTGCTTGGCAATAGGGAATTGAGAATATGGGGTACACAAGTACAACGGCAAGCTGCTAAAAAATGGTAAAAAGGCTTTAATATCATTAATAAACCTCTTTGGAAGACAGTGATTTATTGGGGAAAGCATAGTTAAAGGATAAAACTAAGTAAAATGAATAAAAAATAAAATAACCTAAAATAAAATAAAATAAAATTTTAAATAAAAGAAATTAAAATAACATAAAGCAAAATAAAATAAAACACATAAAACCTACGAAGTAAAAATAATATAAAACAAATAAAAATATATATATATATATATTAATAGACAAGGGAAAAAACAAACAACAATATGGATAAGACCCAATAAAGTAAGAATTTCACATAGTCAACATTTTGTATTAAGTGTAGTAAATATAAAATTAATAATAATTAAAATTATATTCATTCAAATCAAATAGAAATAGCATGAAACTCATTGAAAAATAGTGTATGTAACTGCATATGTATGTGAGAAATAGTATACTATGAGAAAGGAACGACATTCCTCTAAAACACACATGACACTTAAACAAAATTTAATAATTCAATACACAATTATAGGCTAACTATGCTTAAAGCCATTCAATATCAAATATGAAGTAACTATTGATGTATTTTAGTTAAGTGATTATATTAAAAAACTAATGTTAGTTAAATAAATTACATACATACAAATGGAAAATAGTCTACATATTGAAATGCCAGTTTCGTATTAGCTTCATATTAAAATGCATACACATATGTACATTCAAACATGAATTTGTCAATTGCCAAAAGAAATAAGGCAGCATTTCTACGATATGATAATTTTACGGCAGTTCGTTTCAAATTTGCCATATCGGAAAAATGCTGACTTAAATATTCTCCCTGGTAATTAGCCGATTCACATATGTAGTATATAAAGGAAAACAGTACGACACTTAATTTTATAAACATGCAACAAAAAGCAAAATAAAACCTATTTTTTAAAGACAAAACATTTCAAATATCACTTTTTCAAATTATCTCGCAATCTCTGAGCTATCCGCAACTCTTTAGCTAATAAGTTTTGTGAACTATAAAACTGTTTACTAAAATCGTTTTAAATAAAATCTTAAGCAAATTAAATTAATAAAAATTTGTGTGTGTGTTTCTTTTATGAATACCGTTTTTACTGTGACGTATTTTCACATTCGGTCGTTAACTATCCAAGTACACATTTTCGGACCGCAAATCAATTGTGGGATGCGGTATCATTTGACGTTTTTAAATTATTTCTGTAGATGAGGACAGTTTTTATGGTTGCAAAACTGGTTGAAAATTACGGCCAAAATCATCGTTTAAAAATTTGCATATTTGTGTATAGTTGTTGTTGCAACCTATTTAATTTAAGTTGTTTTCGCATTTCGTATAAATGTGATGAAGAAATAAATGACAAAAACGGATAAGCAAAAAATAAAAATAAAGTTAAACTTGAGGATAAAAACGAAAATGAAAACAAAGAGAAATACAAAGGAAGTAGGAAAGGGTAAGACGGTTTATTGAAATTTTTCGAAAGGAATCGATTTAAATTCAGGCATAAAAAAAATTTTGTTTCCGAAATTTATCAAGTTACCGAAATTTATGGATCATAGAAGTTACAGTTATCGAAACATGAAAACAAAGAGAAATACAAAAGAAGTAGGAAAGGGTTAGACGATTTATTGAAATTTTTCGAAAGGAATCGAATTAAATTCAGGCATAAAAAAAATTTAGTTACCGAAATTTATCAAGTTACCGAAATTTATGGATCATAGAAGTTACAGTTATCGAAATTTATCGAGCTATCCATGTTTATTGAGTTATCGCAACGGACCGAATTATTCAAATTGATCAATGTTTATTGAGTTACTGAAATTTATAGACACAGAAATTTAGATGTCGAAATTTACGGATAGTTATAGTCATAGTTAGTTTTCATCAAGTAAATTTTTGAAAAGTACGTTTGCAAAATGCTCGACACAATCACAACTACCCTATTAATGTAGAATTGTATTGTCTTTCCACTTAATTCGTTTTTTTTTTTCTATTCTGGTCACCTTAAGCAATTATAACTGGCATACAAAAGCTCTTTACTCTCCAAATTAGCTTTCAGCAACCATTGAAATCATTTGCTGGTGCAGAACTAGTACGAATTCAATAATTTCCAATTACACTCGATTAAAAAATAAAAAATTAATCAAAATTAAAATTTAATATTAAGACGGTGGCAACTCATATTTTATTTTACTCCCGTACAGATCCCGATCCTGCATAATGTGGTTCGCAGGATCTCTTCTACCGAGATAATTCGAAAGTGTTTTGTTATTCTAGCACAAAAGTTGGAGAAAAAGGCTCTCTCATTCGCTACCCGTGATGAAAAACTATTTTATGAGAAAACAATTGTATACAACGTTGCCGAATTGGCGATTTCATCGACATTTTTACGTTTTTTTTTGTTTTTTAGTTTAGTGACGTTTTGACGATTTGTCGCTTGAAATGGCGATGATTTATTTTAGTTTTTCATTATCTCGTTACCTTAAATCGCGATGGACTTCGCAAATTACAACATAAAAATATTATTAAAAGTAAATTAAAAACTGCAAATTGGGCTTTTTAAAAGGTGGCATAACACCATTGTTTTTGATACCAACACTTTCAAATTAGAAGGTGTACTTTAATATATCCTACCCAAATTGTTAAAAAACGCAGTTTCGAAAAAATTGCTGATTATGGCCCTTGAGTATTAAAGTAACGATATGTATATATGTACAAAATTTGTTAAAGGAAAACATTATGCTAAATAAAACCATGCATTTATCTAGTTTTGTTTTACAACGATGCTCTTAGTTACATATATTAAATTTGTTCTAGTAAGACTTTTGTCTTTCGAAAGACTGTGGTGAGTACAGTCGTCATAATCGCCCTGTAAATGTGATTAAGTCGCTTTCTATATATATTTCATATAGACGTGTGCAGAGTAAAAGCTCTCAATGCCCGTCGCTGATGTACATAAATACGTACACCATTAAAAGCTTTAGCACTATGTACTAAAATAGCGATGTGCAGAGAGAGCTTTTACTCTGCACGCGCCTAAAGAAAGTTTATAGAAAGCTTAAAAGAGCTTTGTCCGCGGGCAGACGGTGCCCAACACCTTACTAAAAGCTTAAAGAAAAAGCATCGCGGAACAATGGCAGCTATCAACAGCTTTCAGGCGTGCACTGCAATTTTAAGAACATTTTTGCAAGCTTTATTGCGCTTCAGAAAGCTTCAAAGCACCTTTCACGCAGTTGAATAAGAAAACTCATTAATTTTTTTGTTTATTTATTTCATCAATAAATATTGTATTTATTCAGCATTAATACTTTTGTGTGTAATTTTACATACGTATGTACATACATACATATGTAAGTTATATGTATGCATGTTTGTCAAAATTATTTACATCTTTTACGTATTACATACTTAATTAGCATACACACATACATATGTACATATATGTATGCTCATATGCATGTACATATTTAAAAAAAAACTAAAAATAAATAAAATTTCTACACGGTTAAAAGCAACTCATTGTGAGTAAAATATAGGTATGTATACGGCGACAATTGCAAATATCTAAAACCTAATTTGTTTAATTAAAAACACGCTATTCGCTACATTTTACATATCGGTAATATTTTGCATACTAAATGGTAGTTATTGATTTTATTTGTTTCTTTTTAATTGTGTATTACAGATATTTTTTTTTAAGCGTGCTTATGAATAATAACTTAAATTTAAGTAAAATAAAATTGACTAGAACATTTCCATGTATGTATTAGCTTTTAAATTAAAATCACAAGGCCGCAAATTTTTGTGGATAAGTACTTTAAACAATTGTAAACTGAGCTACTAAATCCAAAAAAGCGATGAAATATACAACATTTTTGTAGCCGAATTTTATTATTACAGTTTGGTATTTTTTTTAGTATACATAACTTTGTTTTGTAATAATGACGGAAATTTTAACAAAATTAAATTCATGCTATTTTTTAAACACATTCAATAAATTCAAAACAGTTTCTTATTTTAGTAGTTAATTTTTTGATTCTCATAACTCATTACCGCTAACTTTATGTATATATGTATGTATATAGGTTAATTTTAATTCTAGTTTTTATAATTTGTATCTTACTTGCATAATTTCATTAATTTTAATCAATTTTTTAAGTATTTAATTTGCTGATATACTTTTTTTTTTAATTCTACACGTAAGAACGTATTTATTAACTAATAGCTAATTTTCATAGAGGGCAAATAGGTACGAAGTTAGTGAATGCAGGCTTCAACAGATTTGTTTAGGTTTTCTTAAGTTTTCAGGAAATGTAGCAAAAAATTGTATGGTAACCAGTGTAAGTGGAGGTAAATTTGATTTCCGAGAATATTCTTTAATTCATGGTTTAATTAACAAGCCGTTAGTTGGTGCTGGACACGTAGTTTGCAAAGACTCTCAAAATCGGAATGCTAACGGGACACTGGACCATTGGCTACATGACATCAAAGTTTGCAATCTCAGATAACAATTTCTTTAGAAGCAAAGACGAGGAAAAATCTACACATTTCCGGGGGGACACTTGTTCTAGAACTTAGCTTAGCAAAAAAGTCATTAGAGTAGTGGACTCTCCATTAAATCCGATTCTGGGCCAATTGAAGCCAATTTTCGAGCTTAATGGAACCCCCAAAATATATATTTTTAAAAAGTGTGTAAATATTCAAACTAAATTATATTTTTTTAAATGGTTTTCGGAATATTTTATCTTCGGATATAGTGAAATTTAAGACAGTGTTACAATCGCTAGGCTTAAATACTCGTACGCTGCGTAGAAGTTGAGAAGGAATAGCAATGATTTTATTGCAATAATAAAAGAGGTAAGTTTGGATTCTCAGAAATAAAATGCGCCTGTACATGTAGGCTTAATAACATGGGTATTGTAAATATATTAAATAAAAGTAATTTTCATAAAAACAAATGTTTGGCAGGAATATATGTAGGTACGCGCCAGTGCGATACATATTTATCTGTCTTTTTCATTTACCTCCACTCCACTGAAGACCATTTCAGTATTTATAAACTGGCAGACATTTAGTAGCTACTTTTTACTACATATGTTAGTACTTATATGTATGTATTAATTGTAATATGTATGTATGCATATGTATGTAAACATTGTGGTCATTAGGTATTTTATATGATTTGTGTATTTACTTAGAAAACGCCATTTTACACTATTTCAGTACAATACACATCTAATTGTTTTTGTTTGGTAAATACTATTCCTTAATGTATAACTACTATGTGTATGTACAAGAAAAACTATACAAGTAATTTATAATTAATGGAACAACATCCAGCTAACTTTAGCTTATATGTATGTATACTTCCCTTTACGCTTACCAATGTACGAGTATTTATGCATGCATTTAATGTAACTTCTCAAATCATTATGAGCTCAGCTCGTTGGCGTCTATGCGACACCACAAAACAATTCCAATTTCTTATAACTCATACATTCGTTTCGATGCGATACGAGCTTGGCTCTCTGACTAGACCGCGTTTCTCCAATATTGCACTATCGGCGCTAACACGCTTCAACTTTGCCGCTACCGCTAAGTTGCACACACGCGGCTTGAGTGTATCACCTTCCGTACTGACTTGGTCGTATTTACTCTTCTTCTTGCTGGATAGATCGTGATCGCTTTCGCTTTCATCGGCATATTGTATGTCGTCTAAGCCCAGTAGGCCATCGCTTAACTCTGGCGGCGTTTTCTTCTCCACCACAGTCTCTTTCTCCACATAGGAACCTGTCATGGACTCAGCCATGGAGTCGGTTATAGAATTGACCAATGCCTCGGGAATAACAGGTGAGCAACGTGGTGTCGCACGCGCCGCTTCGATATCCTCTGGCGCGGTGGGAGAAGTGCGTATATTTCGGGCAGACTTCGTGCCGCTTAATTTCTGTAAGGGTATGATTACATCGCGGACACCGCTACGCAACGATGAAGTAGATCTCGACTGCTGCTTGGATTGTCGGCGTTGTTTGCGCGAGAAATACGGTGTTGGCTGTTTACTGCCAGTTGTTGTGGATATGGTCTGCTGCATTAGATTATTCTTTAGATTCATTTCGGCAGTGGGGGACGTCGCTTTGGATTGCAAATGGCTGCTCAAAGGCGATAGTTCATCGGATGAGGGTGTCGTATTACTGGTGGTGTTAGCGCTCGATTCTGTGTTGCTACGCGCGCTCAAATAATGCCCGTAACGCGGCATTTTGATCTCCTCATAAAGCGGTTCAGTCTCTTCGGGCTCGTGCGTGGGCTCAGGCGTTTTATCATCCTCGTCGTGCAGATCTGTTATTACCTCAAGCGGTGGCACCCAAATAAGTTGTGCGGGATCCATACCCAAGTAGGAGCCCGGTGCAGCGCCGGCGTTTATCACATTGTAGTCGTAATAGTCAAGCTCGAGCTCTTCCTGATTGCCCAGCGAAAACTCGGAGCCGGGGCGTGCAAGTAACTTTTTGCGATTCTGCTTGTCTTTGCTCTCCTTGGCATTGGTGGTGCGTATGTTGGCCGTGCTGACGACGCTCGCGGCGGGCGAATAGCAACCCTGAAAGAAGAAAAATAGAAAGAAAGTGGTTTAAGGAAAAGTGGTAAACTACTAGTATTAGTCGATTGTGTGACCTCTGGCAGTTCGAACTCACATTTGTCAACGATGCGCTCGCACAACGTGACACATAGTCGCGCAACGACGAACGAATTGAATCGCGATCACTGAGTGTCGTCTCTTCCAAGCGTTGCGATGGGTGGGGCATAAGCGTACCTGAAGGACCGTAGCGATTAAAGCGGCCCGAGTGTACAATGGGCGGGCTAGCGCAAATCGAGCTCATGCCCGAAGAAATGATTGACTCGGTGTCCTTGCCGCTGTCCTTGCGTGTCAATGTGCCACTACAAATACCGCTCGTCTCACCTGCGGCTGTGGTCGAGCCTAAGGCCTCATCTAGCGAAGGGGAACGGCTAAGACCACTCACGGACTCAGGGGATTGCGGAACTTCATTGCGCAAGGTGACTACAGAAGCGTTACTACCGCGCTCCTCATCGCTAAATAAAAGAGGCGAAAGTTAAGATGAGAGTTTGCTCGAAATTTGGTAGACTATTATTCGTTTTTATTTCAACAGAGGCAATATACCTACCACTTTACCATGCGTGTCATCGTTTGTGCATCCTCTTCTTCTTCCTCCTCTTCGGGGTCATTGAATTCCGTATCGCGTGCCAAATTTTCAGCATCGACGCTCTCCCGCAGTATGGAGTGACGTAACTGATGCTTCGGACGCATTTTCACCAAATATATGACCTCAGATAGCAGTGTTGTTGTCGAAATGGCGCGTGATGGAGGACCATGTAGGGAGCTCATGGATGCGCGTGGCGTATGCAAGCGGGAGCCCTCATCTCTGCGACGCGCTACTGCCAAATGGTATTTGCGATAACGTACAACATATTGCGCGCCTAAAAGTATGCGATGAAGAAAAGAACGGAAGAAAAATGTAAATCGCGATAAAAATACCGAATATCATATTCTTTCTGTTGCGGTAGCAGAGAAGAAACTGTATGCAGCGAGCGCCCCTTAGTGAAGAGTAAAAAAAAACTTTGAAAAAGGAAAAAAGTAACAGTGAACAATGAACAAAGTTGAATTTACTAACTACCGTTTAAATCTTCAAGCATTATCCTTGAATCTTGTAAAATATTTGTAAGACCGTTGAAAATGATACGCAAAGCTAGTAATAACTGCCTAAGCCATTAAAGCGTTACCCAAATCCATGAAAACCAAATCAAGTTGTATAATAATGTGAAAATCTCATGACAGCCAGTTAATGCGCTCACCGCAGCGGCAAGAATTAAATGCGCTTTACAAAGGGGTGCAAACAGGCGTATTACGGAACCATTTCCGAATTTATTGGCTATCAGCTGGCTGATAGCGAAAGCTGTGAAGTATTAAAACAAAGCCTCAAATGAAAAAAAAAAAACAGAATCCTGAAATTCAAGCCAGCTAGAGTTAAAGTACGCGTTTTGGCACAGTGGGTAGGATTTTATACACGTGTGTATGTACATATATTGGGGTGCCCATCGAAAATGTTTTCTTTTTTCGAAATTTCAACACCCTAGCCCCTAATTTTATTCGTTTTTATTAGAAATATTATTGCCTATTTTTATAAATTTTTTAAAGGTCATTTAGAGGTCGCGATTTGTCGATTTACATATGTGAGAATATACGATTTTGTAGATTTATGAGTTTTTGAATGACTATCTTTTATTCGATTTCAAAGAACGAAAGTGATCTGAGAAGAAGATATATAGGCATTTAAAATGGTATTGTGGGACTTGGCTTGTTGGAATTTTTTAATCGGGTAAAATAAAAAAAAAAAAAAAATTTTCTTAATTTTTTACATTTTGACCATCGATAATTTCCACAATTTCAAAATATGTAGCACTATCTAAAATTAAATCTATTTTTAAATAACCTGACCGCTCATTTATAGCAATCGCATAAAAATTTTCGAAGTTAGGCGACTTTTCTTAAATACAGTCTTGAGTTTATATCTTTATGTACCGGACTTTCAGATTAATTGAGCAATTTGGCTGAGGTATTTATCAATGTTTACATCAAAATTGATATATACAATCGGTCTTTAACAAAGAATCGGTTTTTTACGAAACTTAGGAAAATGGGGATGGCACCGCCCACTTATATGATATATGCGTATCTCAAAAACTACTTTACCGATTTCTACCAAATTTGGTATTCGCATTGCGCTTAGGCTTCTCAAGCACCATATTGAAAACTCTTGCAATCGGATTGAAGCCCACATCGACGCCTAAGTGAAGATCTACCTATCTCAGCAGCCAGCTCGAAAATGGCCTGTCTCATACATTCTCATTTAAGATAGGACGTTTTTGAACCGAATTCTAAGATAGGCGTTTTTCAATGAAATTCTGAAATATGGTATCCGTCAATTAATTTTTTGAATTACGGCGTTCTTGAAAAGTTTTCTGAGATAGGGCGTTTTCGAAAGCAAACTTCATCAATTTCTTCTCTTCACTACGTATCTACACTCGCTAGCCAGACTAAGTCCAAACAGATGCTCAAAAATTCGTTACTATCTTTCCCAATGCTCGGCATTAATCAGCAGTATTGTAAAGGCAGCATGGATATAAAATCGTAAAAATTAATTTTTTAACCACATTTTCCCCACTTTTAAACCACCGTTCACTGTTCATAGTTATGTGGCTACCTATAACTATTTGCTCATCACTTAAAAATTTCGAAACCACCAGCAAATATGGGTATTTGTGTCAGTGCATTGGTGAGTCTTACTTTGTGGTCACACGGAATCCTTTTATTTCTCACCCTCTGACATTGCTCCCTTTTCCCTTAAATATATGCCATCGTCATTTTAGTTGCTTTTTCCCAACGCTAAACGCGCACTCTCGGCACCCATCTTCCTTCCTTTTAGCGGCTTTTTACGGTACTTACCCAACAGGGCGCTGATCAAGATAATGATGCTGGCAAAGACCACCGCGCTCAAGTGGACCAACGTAAAATTCGTACGACTAAATTTTGGCTTTTGCAAAATACTGCGATTCTTAGCCGACAATCTGCTGGTGGCTGCGGCAAACAAAGTTGTTGTGTCATTACGCGCTGCTTGAACGAGAAAAAAAAACGCAAGTAAAAAAGAATGAAACGCAAATGGCAGAGAGGAGAAAAACAACGAATGAAAAGTCAGTTAGTGGTAAGGCATGCAAATAAGTATGTATGTATAGTAAATTTGTAGAAAATATGCAAAAGTCAACATCATTAGCATGAAAGCGAAAGGACACTGCAGAGAGGAGCAAACAAAAAACTGCATGAAAAGTTCATAGAAATTTGTCGCATTCGCATTGAAAATAAACTTATTTTACAGAACTAACAAAAAATTTGCCGAGAGTGAATGATAAAAGGAAAAGTAAAACAAATAGTGGTTGTCACTGATGCCGGATCGGCAAACCATGGCATGTAACTTTTCGTAAAAAGTATGTTAAACACTTCAAAGAGGGATGTGCCCATAAGGCTTCTTTAATTTAAAGAATTGCTGAAAAGGTCAAAGAAGTTTCATACCGACGCATATTACGACAGGTGTGCAGTTTTAATGACATTATTGGCTAATGACCAGCGTACTTTGCTACACGGAATCAAACCTAAAAATTTTAGAGGAAACAAATACTTAGTATTTGGATCAGGGTCTGAATCGTGACAGACGTAAATGACTCGGCAATCGTACGAACATAAATTACGTACTAAAGCAAACGTATCGTAATTTGTTTGAAGTTATGGTAGATTTGAAAATCAAAATAGTGTTCCAATTGATTGATTGATTTTTCCGAAAAATAGAAAAATTAAAGCAAAAGTTGAAAAAAGTGGTGATGTCCTCTGTATTTAACGTAAGTATGTAGTATATTTTTTTCATTTACGGATAAGATCAGTCGCTCATACACGACTGTCATCATACCGAATTCCGAGACAAGCATACTGCTGTTATAATACGTCTGTTATAAACGGAAATAATCATTTTTACGTGACGAGTTGCTCGTACACGACCGTTACGATTCGAGCACAGGTCATTTCTTCCAAAGATATTTTCAATTTAATTTACAACGTGCATAAACAAGATGCAAACTTTAACAGAAAAAAAAATTAAAAATTAAAGACTGTTCTTTTACAAAAAAAAAAAATAACCTATTAACGAAGAAAATCGGTTGATATAAAAAACGCTGTGAACGATCAAATGAAAATGCATAATAATTTTTGTATGAAATATGAGCTGGAAAGAATGTTACTCATACGCCATGTACGTGTATGGCCATGTTAATACAACGGGGCGATTTTTAATAACATCGCTTGAATTCCGAGATCGGAAAGTGACCTTTAAGAACCCAACCCCATTACAAGCGAGAGCGTTCGCTTTGCAGGCATAAGAAGCTTCGTAGATTACCCCCGAGCCACCTTTGGCTAGAATGATTTATCCTCGTTTTCACCCAACGTATTCTGATATGAAATTTGGTTCACATGCTCAAAAGCGAACTGCATACGGTGCTCCTACCGCTCAATTTCAGCGATATCGGTTTATTTTCCAACTAAATTGGAAGTCAGGTTCTGCTTGACCAATTGCCAGCTAAGCGCACAATCACGAGCCTTGATTTCAATTTGGCTAACAGGGTATATGCTGTGAACTTTCCGCCTACTGATTCTTTAATGTTAGCAACTTTTGCTTAAAAAAGGCTACAGAATTCTGTAAGTCCAAAAATTGATTTTGGTAGAGAGCTCCCGTTTTGACCAACTCTCCCGTCATGTTTCGATCTATTCGCGCAAACTTTCACCGCCCGCTCCCTCTAACAGCCTAGCCCACCCAACACAATCATCACTTGAGGGAATGTGTTAAAAGGAAAAGCTGCTTGGAGACATTAAAATCAATAGCCAGTCAGAATGTTCTTGTAACATATGCCGTCAGACGCCGATAGAAGGTAACGCCTTGCAAATTAAACAAATTTTATGTTTTTCGATAAAAAAAATTACCTAAACTAATTAATTTTTAGGAGAGCTTTAACTCCTTGAGCTTACTATCTGTTTTGCTCTTTAAATATTCTGCTCTTTGCTGGGGATATCCAAGTCGGTAGAGACTAGAGTGAAATAATTTTAAACGCACACTCAACAGCAAAAATGTCCTTAATACTACCTACATACCTTTTCTTTACGCATCTGGCCCGTAAAAGTTTTTAAACAAAGTTTTTATCTTTATTGATATTGCTGAAATCATCTAAAGAAGTACGTTATTGAAATACGAAATGCAAATTTTCCAACATCAGGCCATAAATCCACATAAATATATTTTTCCATTGCTATTTCTAAATTTCGAAGGAATGTAAATACACAAAATCGCGCACACAAAGCGCAATAAATTTGAAGTAATCTCCTATATCACCAATCTGGTAACATCACGCTGTGCGGCTGTGCGATAAACTTTGTTCAGACCAGGATGTGCGTTTGTTTTGAAAAAAAAGTTAGTTCCGAGAGTTTGCTCTAACGTCCTAAATACTCACACAAATATATGTACATATGTATATGCATTCGATAATTTAATACACTTTATGTAAAAAACACCAAAGTGAAACAAAATACAAAAATATCCATGCCAAGAGCAGGCAGCAAGAAAAAAAAAGTTAAATTAAATATACTTTTACAAGCTTATGTTATGCCTGGCCATACTCACAAATTTGTTCAACATTCGCCAGAAAGCCACCAGTGCAAGCGGCATTTACGCTACCGCCGACCACATCACCAATACCGCCTCCCACACGTCCATCGCCCGTTTGGTTGTTGTTATTCTTGTTGAGCGCCACTGCCACTTCACTCGCCTCGCCTGCATAGAATTCCAGCAACAATTGCGCGCCACTCGATTCTATTTGTGTTGGCATATTTAAATTACTTCCGCCGTTCAATTCAATGAGCAGCGTCGATGAGAGCGACGGACCGTCACGTACTTTGATGTACTGCGCCGGACAGGGTAATCGTAAAAAGTTCAAACTCAGCGCAATATTCTCCTCGCCATCCACCTGTAACGAATGAGTAAAAGAAGCGAACGAAATGGTAAAACTTTGACTTCAAAAAAGGTAATCAAAATAATGAAAGTACATATCACACACACACACACGCACGGATATAAGTATGTGTGGATGCATAGAAAGAAAAATATTATTTAGTGGGAGTATAAAATGTGGCACGTGAGCGATAGTCGGAAGTATATACAAATACGAGTGTTACTATGCATGTAGTAGCTTAAGTGGCTTAGTGCGGGCCTAGGTAAAAATGTGGTCTGTATGAGCGCTTTGACTGTATCATATTTAGATACGTATGTATGTACATATTTTTGCATAAAAAGTTTCCGGATATGCATTTCGGTATGTTCGTGTGCTCATGGAGTTATACTTTGTAGTTTTTATTGTTGTTGCTACCACTACGGATATTAAGTTGGAGTTGTTTTACGGTTGTTCACTTCATTAAAATTGCATGTGAGTGTATGTGAATGAGCATTTGTATGCAAAACTTTGCCACTAACTAACAACAACAGCACTAACTCAACTTACAGCTGTAATAATAAATAGCAAACATTTGGAGTATACAGGGTTGCAATTACTTGAAAGTACTGGTATTGCAGATTTGCATTCAAATTAGTTGCTTTTAAAATGCACTAAAAAAACAACACATTTTAATGTCGATGAACTGTTTGTATATCGAGGACCGAAGCAGCTTAGGAAAAAGTATTGAGTTGATTCCCCATTATCCTTCTCTGTGACAGTATTCAGAACAGAGGGTTTTAAAGGCTTTTTCACAGTGTCTGCTAATTCAAGCCGAGTGAGAGCTTCAGGACGCGAATTTTGTTTGGTAGTCTGACAAGTGGTTTCCACGATTCACATGATATTTACCTCACTCAGAATTAAACGCGGCTATTTTCGTACCTTTAGTTGTTAATTTCGTCAGCCCTGCAGTTGCCAGGGACCCTAAAAAGGGGACATTTAGATCTGGATTTCTTAAGGAGAATTAGATTTTTAAAGAGAGTAAATCAAGGAGTCTTCTTAGATTATTCGATAGAGTTTCCAGGATGCTTGCGCGTCCGAATCTGAGATATCTCTACAACAGGATTGCACTTAACCTGACAGCCGTTCGAAGTTTGGCATATTTGGATATTTTAGATTTGGAGCTCTGCCTGCGCTGTGCATCACTGTTGGCTCGTAGAGATGTTGGAATATTTTCAGATTCCGCCGAACATACTCGTCTTTGAGAAGAGACTTTAGAGCAAATGAAGTAAGACTCATGGGCCTGATATATTTCGATTTTACTTGAGCTGCCCTCTCTACACTGTAAATTAGCCCTCCGCGTACATTCTGCAAACAGTTAAAGGTACTTTAAACTTGAGGGTACCCATTCTAGTCATTCATCCGCTATGCAGTTTTCTGCAATATCATTGTAGCATGTGGGTATATGCTTCTGGGATGGAAATATTCTGCTATAACCGATAGATAGATCAGGCATTCCTCGACTCATTTTGAGTTCACCGAGAATGAGCCATAGCTGCCGTTCGTTTGTGGTAGTAGATGCTTACCACCCTTACCGACATCAAACAGTTGAGCACACATTCGACTGCTTTATAGTTTTGCCTCCATATACAATTTGAAAAATGCCGAACCGGCGTTTCGGCAGCTGCCTTTGTGCTGTGGAAAGCGGATTAAAAATCGAGAAAGATATGATGAGTGTAGGTTCTGCTCTCCAAAGTATTTACCAACACTTGTCGTGTTGGATTTACCAGGTCCAAACCCATATTGAACAGGACACAGGCAGCATCTTCACAAAATATGTTCGAAAAGACCTTCCAAGCGGAGGACGTTCCAGCAATTGTTGGAAAGCATCACTCGGTCACCATTATTGTGTGGTCAGAGCACACTTAATTTCCAGTCGTCGGACTTTTGATCATGGGACCACATACTGCATAAGAGTTTATGCATTCACCTTATCAACTTCTTGCCGTACAGTGCGGCTGAAATTCAGAAGGGCGGCCAAAATCCTAAGTATTAAACAAATTATTCAAAATTTCGTATTAGGGGCTTTTCGAGGTCGCTGATTACGAATCCGCTGTCAGAATTGCAAAATTGGCGGATCCAGTAAGGCGTTTGGTAAATTTCGGACTTTTTAATTAGAATTTTTAGAAAGATTTTATATCCCAGTAAATTTTAGTGTCACAAAGTGCAAGCTTGAAGTAGCTAGGACCTACCGTTGATATTTTAGAATTTTTTTTGTTTGTTGACAGTGTCTGTTATTTTCTTCCATACGAAGTATGTTCGATTTTATGAAGAAAATGAGCAACAGCTTCAACAAAAAAAATTCCAAAAATCAACCGTAAGTCCCAGCTTCTTTAAACTCTCACTTTATTTTACTTAAATTATATGGGCCACAAAACTGCATACTCAAAACTGTCGCCGTTAATTGCGAATGCGAATGCGAAAATACAACTCTTCTGTCCTTGCTGTTTTCGGCAAGTGTTTTACAAATGGGGAAAAGATGGATCCAATTCAGCCAGTAAAATTGTGTGCTCTGCCCTTTTTTATGGGTGCAGAAGCCGCCAGAAGGTGGGCGTAAAAAAGACTATAATGGGTTCACAAATGATATGTAGCCTTAAAGAATCGCAGTTATAGGACACCAAAAACCTTGTTTTTGTTTAATTCAGTATTTAAGGATTAAAAAACGTGCCCCAATTCATTAACAGGGAGTTAGAAAATATCTGAATTTTCAAGTGTTGTGTACTACTAAAACACCTCCATTCTGTACATATATATTTAGTCGTATATATTAGACATATATTTTTTGTTTGTATGTATGACTTCTGTGTACATACAAATGTATGTACATATGTACATATGTCCATAAATAAAACTTTTGTTGCTAGCTTTGAATGGAATAGTTCAACTTTTGCTACTCGTAATACCGTTTGTCAACTTTTGTTATTTTGCCAAAGGTTATTAGAATGTTGCGAGGATTAAAATTGCTCAGCTTGACGTTCAAGTTGTGATATGTGGTGTAATATTTGGCAAGGTGTGTAACGCGTGATTACAGCGGTCACGTTTCACATTAAAATAAATGTACGAAAGTAAGTTCGTACCTATTTATTTTATTTATCTGTGGAATTGATTGAATGTGAGCTATGCGAATGCAATACTATAATTTAGATGAAAAAAATTTATCTTCAATAAAATTTGTTGGAGTTAACACATCTATCATGGCAGGATTAGGTTAGGTCGACATTGATTTGGTGGAAAAGCCACACATTTATTTGCAGATTATTTTTACACGCCATCATTCAGTTCACCGACACTGTTTCACTGCCAAATATGTATACATATATGTATGCATACATATGTATATATGTATAAATATATGTGTAAACAAGGACTCGCACACTCTTACAAATATTTAGTTACTACGCTGATTACAATGTTGCAGGCAATTTCAGTTTTCATAATTTATTTACTGTCTCTCACTCACGTGATTTATCGTCACACTTTATGCGCAGAAAAAACACACATATTTATTTATGTATGTACATACATATGTTTGTTTGTTTATGCATTTGTACACATAAAATATTTGCAAGCACATACACAATAAATCAACTTTGTTATTGCAATATACATAACACATCATAAAAAATTTATAGAATGTTGATAGCCTTTGATATAACTAAATTGAACTTTGCGAACAAAATACTAATGTACAACAAGCTACGAAATCTTATTTTCAAACAAATGCATAAATTTTTATGTACACATGCATCTTATATTAGTATACACTCCGCGTCAAAAATAAAAATTTTAACAATTTATTTTTTTGTTATTTAATTTCAATAATTCTTTATAAAAATGTAGATTATTCTTTAACAAAAGCCATATAAATCCAAGTTTCAAACTTTGTGCATTATTCAACAAACTTTGGTAAAAAATTTCCGTTGATTTTTTAGATTTTTTTATCGCATTTGTTTTAATATCATGAATAAACACAATTTTTTTTATGTAGAAAATAAACTGATTTTAATTAAAAGTTCTTAAACATTAATGAATATTTAATGATATGACCGATACTGTATGTTCGACCATTTGTTTAGATGTAAGAAAATAAGCAACACCACCAACAAAAAACAAGGTTGTCAAAAATCAAGGGCAAGTCTAAGCTGCTTCAGAATGCATACTCAGAATACTTCTAAGAAATTTTATAAAAATGTTTGAAATTTTTACCAAAAAGTAGGTATTAAATTTTTTTATATACATATTGCAGAAAGTTTGAAACTTGGAATCGTACGATTTTTGTTAAAGAATAAATAATATTTTTATAAAAAAATAGTTAAAATTTAATAAATTGTTAAAACATGTCAATATGTGGTGCGCTTACAATTTTGACACGTAGTGTATTTGCATGTAAATGTATACATGTCATATGCACATGTATGCGAATAGCTTTGTAGATTTTCCAATAGCTTAGCAAAAGTTTTTCACACTAAAGTTTTACCAAGTTTTACAACAGAAAACAAGCCTGTCAAAGTGAGAAAACTTGTAAGTAAGATCGATCGAAGAAAAAGGGGTCAGGGAAAATGAGGTGGTGGCAAAATATATATAGAAGTTATGATGAAGTGTTGAGCAAATATTTCGAATACAGTCATGCACTTGTTGGCTGAGCTATTAAAAAAGGTAGAAAAAGGTCAATTTATGTTTTGCCACAAGCCACAAAATGGCAGCAAAGTGAAAAGGAAGCATTACACACACAAATATGACCATAAAAAA